CTTATCGCTCAACTTTATCTGCTTATCCCTATATAATTTATCAAATATAAGGTCAGCTTTGGTTACATCGAACGAGAACGTTCTAGCCTTTATGTTTCCATCTTTTATGGGCTCATCTTTGCCCGATGGTCTAGGCTTGGCCATTATGGGACAAGTATATGTATCCCCTTTTACCAATTCGGCCAAACACATTTCGGCCTGATCGTATGATTCGTCGTCGATGGTATGAACGTCAAAATTTGGGTCTCTGTAATAAGTCCCTTTACTGGAATTTTTCATTTGTTCTTCTTCTCTTATCAGTCGCTCATACCTAATCACATTCGCACTCAACTAGAAAAGGTCAGGAAATTCCTTGTCCTGGAACTTCTTTTTTAAATCAAAGCTCAAGCAGCCTTGTGCGATCTTGACAAATTCTTTTTCGGGCAGAGGTACAAAACACTTGCTTCTTGCTGTTTTGAACCTTTAGAGAAAACTTTCTGCCCATTCATTTGACATTTGACGTAGATTCGTCAAATCAGCCAAAGTGACTTCAGACTCAGTTTTATAAAACTGAGCGTGAAACAACTGTTCCAGTTGTTGCCATGTTTGAACAGAGTTCGCTGGCAAGTTGATGAACCAGGAGAAAGCTACTCCTGTTAACGAACTAGGAAAAAATCTCATTTTATGGTAATCTGTTACATCACCACTTTGCAACGTGAATCTCCCTATGTGTTCTAGAGTAGACACCTCTCCTAAGCCGGTAAACAGTGAGAATTCTGGCACTTTGTACCCTCTAGGCCATGGATATGCTTGGTCTACCCAATCAGAATATGGCTTTGTATACGTCGGCCTAATGACAGGACGCACCCCAAAAGCCATCTGATCCTGCATGATTTTTATAATCTGGTTCCTCAACATGACATTGGGATCATATGGAATTCCTACAGGCTGATTAACCGATTGATTTACATGAGGCCTGATGTTTGGTCCTTGATTGGCAACAAAATTACCATAGTTAGGGCCATTACCATTAGCCTGGACATCTGTTCCCTCATTACCACGTGGAATATTCTGTCCATTGTTTAGAACATTATCTCTCACGTTTGGATTACCCCCCAAGTTAGGCATGCCATTACCATTGTTTTGATTTGGCACTGTAGTACCCCCTTGGTTTGAAGTAGAGGGACCAGAAAGCGGTTCTACCCCTTGATTCGGATTTAGGACAGAGGGATTATGTCCCACAATTGTCCTGGTTTGAAAGTGGTTTGTAAGAGGTATAGCCGGTTGACATATTTGGCCTACTAACTTATTCATTGTTTCGTTTAACGTTTTTAGCTGTTTGGCCATATTGTCATAGTGTGCATTTCCATTTTGTGTAAATCTTTCTATATTATGAATACTTAGAAGATTTACCTATTCAACAACGTCTTGCGTGAGTTCTCCAAGTAATGCACGCATGGTTCGAGGACTCAACTCCGTCATTGGTTCGTAACGACTGTTACTGCTCTGATTTTGTCCATCTGTTCGTGGAGAGGCATAATGCTCCTCATGTCGCTCGATTACAGACTGGATTCCTCCATGACTTGCTCCTTCCTTGTCGGATCTCTGAGGCATATTGTTTCACCTTTTGTACTTTCAACACCTAACACCACTGTCCCACTGGGCGTGCCAAATTTTTTCGCGCGGGTTAAGTCGCTAACAATTAAAAAGGATCAGACGATTGTGTAAGGGATGAAACTTCTTGAGACAAAGTCCCAAAAAGGGGTGTTCTTTTATTGGCGATGAACTTTACAATTGGAAATGGAAAACAACGTGCCTCTAAGGGGCGCAAGCACACAAGTTACAGAAAGAAAAGTGTTTAAGTCTAAAAGCTAAGGAAATGAAAATTACATATTCTCTGTTCGAGAGTTTTGGATTCGGTCCTTTGCTTCTACGTCCTTTCTCCCTTTTATACCTCATAGACGATCTTTTTGTGATTAACTACTCTAAAAACTGCTTGATCGTCCTATAACTACCCACTTTCTTCGTAGTGGCCATTTTGTCATGAAACTGCCTTTTAACTGCTGCCATTACCTTTTATCGTTCAACCGCTTTCGATTGAATTCCTTGAGTCGTGGAACGTGATAGGGCTACTTTAACAACTGCCTTAATAACTGCATTTCTTGATAACCACGATGCGTTATGTCTATTGATACCTTGGGCTACTTGAAGGTTTGGGCGAGAATAGAATAACAGCTCTGGGCGACCGTATGACACTCTATTCGTTCAGATTCTGGGCGACTTGCAAACTTGGGCGATGGCGTTACCGCATTCTTGGGCCCCTTATTTGGGCCTTCACCTTGATTCGTTCGATTGGACTTCGTTCTTTGGGCTATCTGATTTGGGGATCCTCCAATTGGGCTTTACTCCTTGGGCTGTTTGATTTGGGCTGAATTTTTATGTGTCAACAGATGTACTGGACCAAATATTGATCAACTGTAGTGTTTTAATATATTTTCTGCAGTGAGCCATTCTCATATTGAATACTTAAAGGGGCATGGCTAAAAACTTTTGGCATTTCTTAGAATTGTTTCCAGCTGAGATCTACTATTTTCTATGTTTTGTTGAACTGGTAAAAATCTTGGAAGATTTGATGTTGCCCAACGAACAATGCTTATTACTAAGCGATACTGCAAGCTTGTTAATCTCCTGTTCTCTAAGCTAAAAGATCTAATAATAGCCAAACATTGGGAGCTACCTGGGTTAGATTTGGGAACAGGAACAAGGAGAAGCGATAACTGCTAAAAATGGAGAAATCGATTGTATTTCATCCTTCGTACCCCATTGAAACTGGGGATTGAAAAGCCCCGAATTTGATTACTTGTTAAGATGCGAACAACTTGAGAGACTGATTTGCTGGGATTTATTGGGAGGCTCTTTTCTTCTGCTCAAGTCATGCTATTTACTGAATCTCAAGTATGCTATGCCCTATAAAGTTTAATTATGCTTCAGAGCTTCTTTCACCTATATATTGTTGCTAATTTGATAAATTAGACTCCTAAAAGTCTCAATATAATATATGAATTATAACACTCAAACAATGAAACCTCCGACTACTTACTGGTTACACCTGCCTTGCTATAATTTAGTATTTATACAATGCCTGCTTTCCCAATTGATAACTACTACTATCAGAAGACCAGTGTCAATTCTTTAGTTCACATTTATGTCTCTGCTCTTAGACTCCAAAATTTTCCTGCCATCAGATGTTTGGAAGTTGCAACTATGCTGTAGAATTCAGCTTGCTAAAATCATATTTCTATCTTCTTCTTCTTCTTCTCTTTTTCTCTCTCTCTCTCTCTCTCTCTCTTTTTGGTGCATAGCTTTCACTGAGTGTACAAATATGAGTTTCAGTATTGACGATTCTTCTGTAGAGCATTAATGTTGCACGGTCTTCTTTTTCTCCTGTAATATGCCACGCTAACAAAGTTGACTAGAATATGCAGCTTACTGGGATGCTGCAAAAGCGCGAAATAATTTTAAGTGATTCAGTTGACATATCTATTGCAGTTGCTACTGGGAAGGTATTTCAAAAACAATCATATACATAGCAAATTAAAGAATTGTTTTATTTGACATTGTATGTGACGACCCAAAAATTTATGTTTTGAATCGCTACCCAAATAGATTTATTTATAAAATGGTCAATGTTATTTTAAACCACTTAAGGTTTATAACTTCGAATTTCTAACTGGCAGATCCTTAAAAGTCAAATAAAGTAAGATTTCTGGCAACTAAATTTGTAAATTTCATACTATTAGAATATTTTCTCTTAAAATAATCAACTACTTACTGTTATGAAAATCTCTATAAGTAAAATAGAAATAGTATGCACAAAATATTAATTAACCATATTTTTATTTCTTACACAATTTAAAATAATGATAATAAGGCATATTTTATTTATTCCTTTGCAGTGAGTAAAAATAAGGCGTCAACTTCACCAATTTAAAATTATTATTGTGGTTTCATTAATTTGACATGCATGGGAATGCTAGTTAACCCCCAATGTTTAAATCTCCAATTTTTCTCACGTGTTGGCACCCAAGACAAACATATGGAAAGTGAATGTGACAACTGTTTTGACCATGTGTCATAAATTATGGGAAAATTTCATAGTAAAGTACATAAAAATAGTATTTGACAAGGACTAGACAGTAAAGACATATCTAAATACTATTAAGTAGTGCAACTGGTAGGAAAAAAAATAACATTCAATACAAACTTTATTTGGTGCGATCTATATATTGAAGTGCAAATAAACATGTACGAGAATTCAGTTATAAATAAATGTCTATTGTAATAAACATTAAAAAAATAAAATTACTTGCTAAAATTCTAGATTTTTGTCCAACAAGACGAGGCACAACCACACTATTGAACCCTCGTGCTCCAACACGACCCGATGTAACCTGTGAGGTGTAGGAAAATGGTGAGTATATGAAAATACTCAGTAGGATATAAAATTTTAATGGTGCAATCCCGAATAATAATTATAAACACGTGTCAGAAAATCATACCGTCTCATATCTTTAAAATTCGATAAGAGCTCATATCATATCATTGTACCGGAATAGTCATATTATAGCATTTCATATCATAACTTTAACTTTTATGAGTACAAATTCATCAACATGTAAAAAAAAATAATTAAACGGGACATAAAAATACTGCACCTCATATCCTAGTTAACTTGTTTTGATTTTTGGAAGACAAAATAAAATTCACGTTCCAACAAATCCCCCCCCCCCCCTCTTTTTTTCTTTTTGCCTCTCTACTTATGTATATATTTTTATGTATCTTCTATGGTGTGTAATTATATTCATAGGCAATTATACAATAGTTGGTATGGGGAGACGTGTGAAAGTGAAAAAAGAGAGTTATGGATAAAATATTGGAAATCAAAATTTGACCAAATCTTATCAACAACTAAACCACTCAAAACCAACACATGACAGTACACCTAGTTTTGCTTAACCACCCACGTGACTTCCTTTATCTTCCCTTCTGTTTTTCTTTATTTGAGTAAAACAAAATTTCAATCATAACCTATCAAGAATCTTCCTCCTTTCACGCCACTTGTGGAAGAATTTAAATTGATTAAATAATTGATTAAAAATATAATTTAAAGTTATATCTTTTGATCTCGATAAATTGGACTCCGCTAATCCAAATTAACTTTTTCTCGAGCCTAATATGCATGATTAATTACGATCTATCCAACAAGCCCAATATTCATATACTAATTATTGCTCCGCCAATATCCACATTTTACATCCAAGTAAAATTGGAATTTACTATATATTTTAGTCCTTAACCTTTCAAAACATTAAAATATAGCATACAAAAATTAAATTCTATTCCACCAAATTTTTCAGGACATTACACTGTATACTTGGTTTAATGTTACGACTTAGGCTACACAAAACTCTCAAACCAAAACCAAATCGAATCGAGCAGTTCTTCTTAAATTAAATACCCGAACGAGTATTTGAATCGAGAATTGACGGGTTCGGTTCGGTTCTTTTTTTGATTAATTTATTTTAAATAAGCCGCATTATTTTATTGTTTCTAAATAGATTTGCTAACTAGTTAATTTAGCTCAAACCCAAAAAATATAATTTTCCTATTTCTAATTTTCAGTTCAAAGCCAATTTAATTAAATTGACTTAAGTTTTATCCAAATCAGTTACTCTACCGTAGTGCTGCTTTTACCATTTTGGAAAAATCGAATAGAAGGTTGATAACGCCTCTCTTAATTATTGTGAGCTCGATATCTTTCTTTTCCTACGATTTTAACAATCAAATTTATAAAAAATTCAGCAAAGAGAAACTCAAAAGATACATAAAATTGGACTACATTATTTTATAAGGGCTAAGACTGAACATATCATTAGTTGAATTAATGTATCTTTGTAAATATTAAAAAATTTAATTATAATGCGGAATCTAGGAACCGAACCGAACTAAATGGTTCCATAATTAAATTTGGACCCAGACGATTTCACTTATTAAATACCCAAAAATTTCGAGTTGGGTCGGGTCAGGTTCCTGCTAGAACCAAATCGAACCGGACCATGTTCAACCCTATTGCGGCTAATACTCGTATAGACAGGTTGCTTAATTTTATGTCGTTTCTTTTTTGTATAAATTGATACACTTTCTATGTATTATCCATGATTAATAAAATATTTAATTACCTATTAAAAAATATATATATTATAATAGGCCTTGATTGTTATATGGGCTAACTTGGTCCAGCCCATGATGAAGATTGGCCCAAGCCAATATATTATTTTATTGTTAGGTCAAAAGTGGTGGATATATATATATATATTCTTCCCAAAATCGTGGCCGTAAGAAAGAAAGAGATAAGAGAGGGAAAATCTTATTAACTTCCAAGTTGTGAGAGAAAAAGGCTTTCAATTGTGAGAAAGAAAAGTCAAAGTTTGTCGCTTCATTGAGAAAAAGGCAATAACGTTGCTGCTGAGAGAAAGACTGCAGGTCGAGAAAATCTGGAGAGAAGAAAAAGATAGAAATTGATAAATTAAATAAAGTGGTTGCTCAATTTCTTCTTGAGGTGTGGTATCACACATGTTTACTTTTTCTTTTCTACATTATATAAATTGAAAATTTCTTTAAGATATATTTTTGGATTTGTATTCAAAGTGGGTTTTCACAAGGTTAATCAATTTGGTGATTTGTGGTAAGATAAATTATTGTTTTAGAGATTAATTATTGCAGTATTCCAATTTGTAGAGAATTCAAGTTTTGAGGACATAAACTTGAATATTGCAATCTATATTAATTATTATAGTGGATTTTTGGCCGGAGTTGCCCCCTTGTTTTTTTTCCTCTACATTGGAGGGTTTTTTCCAAGCAAAAATTTGGTGTCGCGTTTTCTTATTTTTGCTTAGACTATTTATTTGCATAGTTAATTGCTTGGATTGGTAAATTTATTCTTGGAATAATTGAAATTGCCCAACAAAGTGGTATCAGAGTTCAGGTTGTGTGGGTGTTGTTTTACTGCGAAATAAATGGAAAATACTTCAGGCACTATGATTAAATTGTCATCTTCAAATTATTCTATTTGGAAGCCTGGAGGATATCTTGTATTGTAAGGATTTACATGAACCTATTGAAGGTGATAGTGCTAAGCGAAGCAATGTGAGTGACGGTGATTGGAAGAAGATGAACAGGAAAGTCATTGGATATATTAGACAGTTGGTTGACATTAATGTTTTCTATCATATATCTCAAGAGACAGATGCACATAGTCTTTGAGAAAAATTAGAGAGTCTCTATGAGAGGAAGACTGCTCAAAATAAAGTTTTTGCTATTAGAAAGCTTGTGAATCTGAAGCTAAAGGAGGGAAAATCAGTTGCTGAGCATTTGAGTGAATTCCAAGACTTGATAAATCAATTGACCACAATGAAAATAGTGCTAGATGCTGAGATGCAAGTACTATTACTTTTGAGTTCATTGCCTGATAGTTGGGAGACTTTGGTGGTATCACTTAGTAACTCCGCTCTGAATGATGTGTTGGAACTTACTCTAGTTAAAGATAATTTTTTTAATGAAGAAATAAGAAGAAAATACTTGGGTAGGAATGATGCACATGGTCTTATTACAGAGAACAGAGGTAGGAATAAAAGCAGAGGTCCTAAGGGACGTGGTAATTTCAGAAGTCGGTCAAAGACAAGAGGAAAGGTCAAATGCTTTTATTGTGACAAAGAGGGTCATATAAAGAAACATTGCATGGCTTGGAAAAATAAATTGAAAGAGGAGAAAAATCAGAAGAAGACTGATCAGAATACAACAGCTAGCGCTTCAGAAGAAGTAATGGTAGCAGTATTTTCGACTGAAGATGAACAGTGTTGTCATGTTGCAGATTCATTTGTTGAATGGGTTATTGACTTAGCGGCTTCTTACCATGTTACTCCAAGACGGGAGTTCTTCACTTCATACAAATCAGGTAACTTTGGCAGGGTAAAGATGGGTAATGACAGTTTTGCCAGTATTTCGAGAATTGGTGACATCTATCTTCAGACAGATATTGGATGCAGCTTGACATTGAAAAATGTGTGACATATTCCTGACATGTGCTTGAATTTGCTATCTACACATGCATTTGATGAAGTAGAGTATGACAGTTATTTTGGCAATGGAAGATGAAAACTAACAAAGGGTCAATGGTATTTGCTAGAGGAAAGTTTTGTTGCACACTTTACAAGACACAAATAAATGTGTGTAGTAAAGCGGTAAATGCAATTGAAAGTGATTTGATAAGTGTAAAATATAATGTTTCCCCTTTTTATTTATTACATTCGTGTGATTATTTGATACCAAAATACACTCATTATACTTATATTTTTATTCAGGTTGCATTTTGGTAGAAAATGTGAAATTTGGGAGAAAATAGCGAAAAGGACCAAAGTAGAAGAAATTGAAAGTTCGGGGACTAAAGTGGAAATATTCCAAACTTGTGCCTAACCTTATGATGAAGACTTGAAAGTTTTAGAGGTCAAGAGGATGAGAAAA